AAAAATTTGGTTCTTCGGATAAAATTTTTTGTATCCCTGGCCAACAACTAATATCCAATATTTGATTCATAATTTTTTTTTTTTTTTTTGTTTTTGTAGAATTCAAATTCAATTAATCAATGTAAATAAACAATATGAATTTTTTTCAATTAAAATGCAATCAAATTACATTACAGTAAAGGGATTTTTTTGATTTTTCCAGCGAAAATAAACAAAAACAAACTCTGCTCGCAAAACATTTTTTTTATCGAATTTCGAATATTTCGAATTCGAAACATGCAATATTCTTTTGGGAGGGGGGCTAAACAAAAATGATGTACTTTTATCGTGTGAAAAGAGTATTTTTCTGTTGTTTTGTGAAAAATTAATCATCCGGTGAAATGATTTTTTTTTTACCTGAGAAAATCAATTAAATTCAGAAGAACAAAACACAAAAAGTAAGCCAATCTATCCATCCATCTCTGCTCTATTTTTTCCCAATTAATTTATTGTTTTTTGATTCGATTTTGGTTTTGATTTTCTGATTTCCAATCAATTTTATTCGAGGAAAAAAACTGCTACAAGTTTTTCAATCAGAGCAAAAGAGAGAGTGTTTCGTTTTTTCTCATGAATAAAACGAAAATCTTTCTTTTTTTCCTGATCACTTTTCACTTTTCATGGTTGAGCAGTGAGAGAAAATTAAACGAAGAAAAAATGTTCAACATTTTTTGCCTTGGCTTGCAAAGTGTTAATCATTCAATTATGACGATGATGATGATGATGATTGCAACAAGAAAACAGCTACAACAACAACAACAAGGTAATAATTGATGTTGAAAGAAAGTGAAAGCAAGCAACAAAACTTGTTGCTTGTTTACTACTTTGCATCATCATTATCATCATAAGAAGAAATGTACCCATGATTTGATTTATGTGATCTTCCTTATCAATTTAATTTAATTTAATTTCTGATCATCATCATTGATGGCATCCTCTTTTCGATCAAAATTTGATAATTTTTTTTTCTCCCTTCTTTAATGGCCATCAAAAATAATTTTGTAGTTTGATAACGACGAAAATCAATAACTTTTTTCCATTTTCTTTCCGTCAAAGTCAAACAGCAACATGATGGAACATTCTGGCCAACAACAACAACCACCATCGTCATCATCGACAACATTACAACAACAACAACAAACAAAACCACGTAAACATTCAACAATATCATTATTATCAATAACCGGTTCATCACCAATATCATCAATGATGTTACATATTGATCCACGTTTAATACCAAAAAATTTATTTAAATTTCATAAGGTAATTATTGTTGATAATTGTTGTTCGATTGACAGTATCGATTGTATCGATTAATCGATTTTTTTTTTTAAATAATCGATATTATTTTCGAATATTAGGCTGGAACTGATGATGAAAAAATGGCAATGTTTGAACGATTTAAATTAGAAGGAATTGATCCGAAAAAATTAAATGATTCAAAACGATTACCATATGTATGGCGTTGGTTAGTTGATGCTGAAATAAATTGTCAATCATTACGACATCAATTGGAAAAGATGCGTATCCAACATGAACAAGAATTACAGGTAAATTTCAACCATGACATTTTTGTTTGTTTGAAAAAAAATCCTGACCTCAAACATACACAATCGGATCGGATCTTGTGTTTGTTTTCTTGTGTTTTTGTTTTTTGCAAATGAATGTCATTGCGAATAACACACACACATACAAATTATCTTTTTCACTTTTCTCAAACCCAAAACAAGCACAAGACATTCAATCTGAGTGCTCGTTTAAGTCAAAAAAGAGAAAAAATTAAAAGTCAAAAAAGTTATCAAAAAAATGAAATTGCCATTTCGTGATGATTTTTCATAAATAATAATTTCTTTATTCAATTTTAATTAGCTACTTCGGGGCAGAAAAAAAAATTTCTCTTTTTATTTTTCAAAATTTTATTATCAAATTTGTTTTGTTTTGTTTTCTAATAAGATTTGAATGTTTTTTCTTTCTTTCTTTTCTCCGAATAGGAAGTTGAAAATTATGTTAGTCATGTTTGGAAATTATCAATGGAACGTTTGGAAAGTTTACAGGAAGAAAATCGATTCTTACATTCGAAATTATTACAGCAGCAACAACAACAACAACAAATTGAATGTAATGTACAATCGAATCAAAGTAATGGTGATATCGTTGTTGTTGATGGTGGTAATCGTGTACAACAATCATTAAATGATTTGGATAATAATGATGAAGAAGAAGAAGATTATGATAATGATGATGATTCAAATGATTTTTTTCTGAAATGTCGTCGTCGTCCTCGTCCTCGTCATGTCAAATCGTCAAAACTAGTCAATAATAAACAGAAACTTCAATGTCAATCATCGACAATGATTGAAAAAAATAATCATCAAATGCTGATGTCCGCTCATTCAATATCATCAATTTTTGACAATTGCCATAATTCAAATGTGATCATTAATAATGTTCATAATAATGTTCATAATAATGTTCATAATGTTCGACGTTCAAGCAGTTGTATCGATTTGTTGAACATTGAAAGCCAAAATATTGATTCGAACGATCGACAACAAACTGATAATGATTGTATTCGATGCCAAAAATTTGAATCTGAATTGATTGTATGTGAAAATCGAATCAATGATCTACAAAAACGTTTATACGAATTAGAGGATAATAATTCTTCATTGAAAAAATTGAATCGTTGTATTGAAATTGAAAATGAAAATTTTGCCTTTAAAGTATGTTTGTTTGTTTGTTTTGATTGATTGATTTTAATCATTTTCTTTTTTGCTTTCTAACCCCTTTATATAAATTAGCTTGCTGAATCAGAATCTCAAAGTAATCAATTAGAACAACGAATATTATTGTTGGAACAAGAGCTTAAATTGAATAATCAAAAAAAATCTCGTCCAAATTCATCATCATCATTATCTTCTTCGGATCCAAATCTAGTCATACAAATAAATGAACAAAAAAGATTAATCAATGAATTGAATGAAAAAACTAAACGTCTGGAAGAATCATTAGATTCTAAACGTTTAGAATTGGAAGAAATGGAACATAAATTATCAAGATTACAACAACAACAACCAGCAAAAGAATCGAGTTTAAATTTTTCATCATCATCATGGTTATTTCGAAAAAATGATCCAAATAATAATCATCATTCTAATCATCAACAACAAACAACAAATACCAAAGATAATATGGCTTTACATAGACATACATCCGATTATTATGGATCAAGTGATGGTTTTGAAGAGATAAAATTGTGATTTCATTTCATTCCGATTTGATTTACCTACCTATTTTCCTACCTCTTTCATTCCAATTTTTCTTTGAAATATTTTTTTCAATTTTTCTATTTTATTCAAAATGTTTTCTTTGTTTTGTTTTGTTGAAATTAATCTTATTGAATAAACAAAAAAAAATCGATTATCAATCGATACAATCGATATATTTTCGTTTTTATCATTCGATTTCCTTCCAACAACGTTGTACAATCGGACCACCACAATTCATCAATGTTAAACATTCGATTGTTGATATTGATCGAATAACAATCGAAAATTTCACCCGAACAATCCACCACCAAGTTTTTTCAACAATTTTTTGATTGTATTTTTATATTTGGAAATTATTTCCATTTGTAACATTGTATCATTCGATGATAATAATTGATAATATTTTTCACAACCATTACATTCATTTTCAATACAAAATGATTGATTGATTATTATTAACAATAATAAAATGATTGAAATGATGGCTATGAAACAGGAAAAAACAACAAGTTAATTAATTCAACGAAAATTCAATGATTACCTGCAGATTTCATTATTAATGAGTTTGTTTTTTTTGTGGTAAAATATTCAATTAGATTTATAATATTTTTTAAAATCAAAGATTTAAATACCTTGATATGAAATTTACAAAGGTTAATTCAATCAATCAATCAATTTTTTGTCAAATGTCAAAGTTAAATTTCATTTTTTTTTGAAAGAAAAATTTTATTCACAAAAAAAACAAACATCAAATTTTTTTTTTTAAATTTTATTTTTATCATCATCATCATTATCTAGTTCAAGAGGTTCATTAAACATAAGGATAAGGAGAATGATCAGGTAAAATATGTAAACATTTTGCAACTAAAGGTGCAGTACATGTTGCAGTTTGTAGACAAATTTTTGGTTCTTCTGATCGTAAACAATCCAATAATTGATCATGACAATCTTCCAATACTTTAATATGTAAACAATGAAGAAATTTTAATACTGCATATAGTTTACCAGAACGAAGAGATAAAAAATTTGCTGCCAACTTTCTAACTAGACGTATACGTGATCTTAATGATCTTTTAGATATTGATTTAGGTTTGGTGTTTGTATGTGTCGAATTATGATCATCATTATGATGGTCATTGTTGGATTTAGCAGCATCAACATTTTTGTTATCACTTTCTTCGGTTCGTACGATAATCATCGTTCCTAACAAAAAAAATCCGATAAACAATAATGCTATTGTCGATCAAAGAGAGAGAGAGAGAAAAACAAACAGAAAATTAGATTTTGGGTTTTTTTAAAAAATTACAATTTTAAAATTACTTTTCATTTTTTTTTTTTTGGATTGATGTGGATGTTTCCAAAACGATAAGATGAATAATAAGAATACTTTTAATATTTGATTGATGTTTTTATATAGAAAGGTTGGATGAATGGTATAAATATCATCAGTTTCATCAAAAAAAATTGAATGTCAGTAAAAGAATTTTGTTTTAATTTAATTATTAAAAAGTTCATGATCATCAGAGTAATTAAACTTTTTTTTCTGTTTGAAAATGTCATAGTTACACAACCGAATTTGTTTTTTTTCCGGCCTTTATAAATGTCATTATTATTATTATCAATGAATTTATTCGGATAAAGGTGGACGATGATACCAGAATCGTGCACGAAAATCATCCGAACAAGTTAGGAAACAAGGACCAACAGGTGAATGACAAATTTGTCGAACAGGTTGATTATGACCAAGTGCAAGTAATGGTTGTCGTTCTGCATTTCGTGCATCCCAAACACATAATGATGTTGACATTTCATCAGGCATCATAACAAAATCTTCAGTATGATTAAATGTTGCTTGTGTACGATGTTTTTGTGCATTTTGTCCAGCACCAGTATAAGCAATCAAACAACGTGACATTGATAATTCCCATAATTTTACCATTGAATCCTTGCCGCTTGATAGTAAATACTAAAAAACAAAGCAAAACAAAACAAAATTAGATAATCGAAAAGGATTCAGAAAAAAAACAAAACGATAATAACCTTTCCATTACGTGAATATTGTAATGAACAAATTTCCAGACCTTCATGTGCACGTGGTAATATACCAACACAACGATTTGAAACAGTATCCCAAATACGTATATCACCATCTTTTGAACTGGAAGCATAACATTGTGTATTTGGTGAATAACATATTGATGTTATTGGTCCTTTATGTTGATCCGAAATCATTGATGAAATAAATGATTGAAATGTTGGCATATGATATAAACGTATGGTTGGATGTTGTGAACCAACAATCAAATAATCACCAGTTGGATGAATAGCTAAACATCGGATTGTATTTGATTCTTGTATTGATTTACAAGCACGTTTTACTGATGGTTTTGAATAATCAAATATTTTTATAGTCATATCATGTGAACCAGATATTAAAAATTGATCACGTGGATGAAATATTAAACAAGATACTTCTTCCATATGATCATATAATGTACGAATTACAGGATGACTATCAGAATTATGTTCTTGTTGTTGTTGTTGTGATTGTTGAGGTTGTTGTTGTTGTGATGGTTGTTGTTGATCATTATTTTGATTATTATTACTGCTACCAGTATTATTTGTATTGATTGGAATAAATGATTTAGCTAACATACGTTCAACATCAAGGATTTTAATACTAGCATCAACCGATCCAGTAGCTAATAATTGACCATTAGGATTAAAACATCCAGCACGACAAGGACCTTTATGTGATGTAACATAAATTGTTTCATATGTTGATGGTGCTAATGTTGATGCTGATGGTTGTCGTTCGGTTTCAAAATCCAAATCAATTCCATCCGTTAGGATATTGTATAGTGAATCATTATTCGATGATTTTGTTGTTGGTAGTTCACCCGAAGCAATCAATGATTGAGCAACTGTTTGATAAAGACGATCCGATGGTGGACACATATCCAATATACCCATAACACCCGAAATATTTTTAGCTAATTGAGCTTGTCCATCATAATATAATTGTGATATAATCAAACGATACATTTGATCACGATAACGATAATCATGATTTAAACCTGGATGAAATGGATTCGAATGTGGACCATGTTCATTGTTAATTCCATTACCACCACCATTAGATGCAACATTTGTTGTTGTTGTTGTTGCTGTCGATGATGATGATGATGATGATTGTTGAAGATTTGATGTTCCTTCACCAAACATTTTATCAAAATTACAAACAAAAATTCATTTGTCAACAAACAAAAAAACAAAAAGAGAATCACGTGTCAAAACAGCCGGCTAATAAATTTTCTCGGAAATATAAAATTTTTCAATCAAAGAAATTTTCTCGAAAACATGTTTTTCGCGCTTTTCGAATCGAACACATTGTCAACGAAAAAAGTTTTTTTTGTTTCTCTTCTTAAACCACGGCTGTATAAAGATAAAGAGAAAAAAATATGGGAAAAGAGACAATAATAAATTCAAAATCATCAAATCATGAAATTAATGATGATAACAATCAATCATCATTAATCAATAAATCATCGATCGATTATGAACAGAATTCCGATCAATCATCATCATTGTTGACAAATTTATTACCAATTCCACCTGTATCAACTGGTAAACGTAATGATTATCTAATATGGTGGGATTATTTTATGTCCATAGCATATATTGTTTCATTACGATCAAAAGATCCGAATACACGTGTTGGTGCATGTATTGTTAACGATGAAAATCGTATTGTTGGTCTTGGCTATAATGGTATGCCAAATAATTGTTCCGATGATGAACTACCATGGTTTCGTACGAATGATGATCCAATGCAAATCAAATACCTATATGTTTGTCATGCCGAAATGAATGCAATATTGAACAAAAATAGTTATGATTGTAAAAATTGTTCAATTTTTGTTCTATTATTCCCTTGTAATGATTGTGCTAAAATGATTATACAGGCTGGTATTAAACGTATTGTTTATTTATCCGATCGTTATTCGAATGATATAAAATTCAAAGCAAGTCGAAAATTATTAGTTATGGCCGGTATTGAATTAATAAAATATCAACCAAAACAACGTCAAATTTTAATTGATTTTGATCGATTTATTGATAAATAATCATAATGTCAACAACTGTAACAACAACGATTTCTATTTTTGAAATATTTTTTTCTATTTTGAATAAAATAAAAGTTTTTTTTTAATCGGATCATCATTACCTTGACCCTTTATCCTAAAATTCTAATTTTCAAAAAAATAAGGCCATCCGTCATCACCAATTTCGTCTAATTTAGATCAAAAATACACAGTCAAAATGTTGATCTAAAAAAAAACAAAAAATTTCCTTATAAACTTCTCTCATTTGAACTAAAATTCTCAATTCTTTTAATTTTTTGTTTTTGATTATAAAAATAAACAAAACCCGGAACATTTCATTTCGAATGTTGATTCCAGGAAGAGTTTATTATTTGACAAATAATAATAGTGATGGCGACTAATTCAACATTATTGAATAAGGTCGAGTCGATTCAGTGGTCGTTTGTTTCGTTATTGATATAGCAACAATAAGGAAGCATCGAAAAATGTCAATTGAAACATCAATTGATGATGAGGATGACCTAACGCAGCATCATCAACTATAGTTTTTTGGCCTTTTATTGACCTTTGTTGACCTCGTTCATTGTGGTTGCTGACCTCGCGCATCGAACTTTTTTTTTGATGGTGCCTCTTTTTTTCACTCTTCCGATCATCTCATTGCAAATACGACCTTCAACCATTCAAAAGTTCATTTAACTTCTTCTGAGGATGCTTTCTTATCTTGGTGAATACATCCTTGGCGTACAAAAAAGAAAATATCGAGGTTGTTTGTGTGGGCGCCTTTTTTTTTGATCTCGCGCGCGCCGAATCTATTTTCTGGTAACGCCAAGGCAATGACCAAAAAAACAATTTTGGTTCAAAAGGTTAAACAAGTCCACAAACCTCAAACCAAATTGAAAAAAGATCAAAATGGACTTTTCCTATGCGGAAGAGAATCGATACATGAAAAAAATCTGGATCAATGAACCTTAACCACCACACACCAAAAGGCAAAGCATCTCTTTTTGGTTGAAAAAAAATTAGGTTAGATGTTTGCTTCCATATTGTTGTTGACCATTATTAAGTTAACTCTTTTTTCTTCTTCCTTTCTTTCTAAAAAAAATATAACCAAAATCATTGATGCGCATGTCCAAAAAAAGAATACAATTTTAACCCGGAACTGTTCTAATTCCCTAATTTTTTTTTTTAAAAAAAAGGTAGATCAATTTTGGTCAAAAAAGTTCGAAAGTTCATTTTTTTGGTTGTTTTGGTTTTTCTGGTTGTTTACCAAACAAAAACTAAAAGACCCTACCTCCTCTGCTATGGAGACCTAAGAGATTTTTTTCTTTTCCTTTTTTTTAAATTAGGTCATATAATTATTGTGAGAAAGTGAAAAATCTTCTAGGTCAGATGGGGTGGTGACATATAATCGAATAATAATAAGATGGGTGGGTGGGTGGCTAGGTATGTAGTAGTTAGGGGTTAAGAGTAGTAGGTAAAATGAATCAATTTAAATCTGTCCCCTTATTGGCTGGAACAGGAGAAAAATTTGAAATATAGAACAGCCAGGCCAAAAGGTCGGCGACCGAGATTGAAAAAAAAGGATAGCTATTGGTTTAGCTTGGTTATGTGATTGAACCCTTGTTTTACGGGTCGTATTCATTGTGGCCATTATGTTTAGGGTCGTTGACCGTTCATAACCAGTCAACGACCCCGATATATGCTATGAAGTGCCTCTTGCCACACACACATACAGTATGTTGAACTTATTTAATTTCCGTAAGCGTGTGCGCGTACGTTCATTCGTCCGCCTGTCCCGATGTTCAAGTTATGATCGGGTTATATTTTTTTATATTTACCGCCCGATAACCGTAAACTAGATTCGGGACAACATCGGGTATTAAATAATAACCGTATATTCGGTTATTATTTCACTAAAGGTCAACAGGGTGTTGACATCAATACAGGACACACACTCACCAACCAAACACGCTCGCTTTACATCGACCAACCAATAGAAGCGAAAGAGAACAACAACTCAGTGTGTGAACAAAGAGAGAGAGTGATGGCTTTGTTAAGCCAAAACGAAGCGAAAAGAGAGAGAAAAGCTTACCTTTTTTTCTTTCGTTAATCAACAGACAAAAAAAATCGAAGACAGCCTTTATATAAAAATGAATTTCCCTTATTGTCTTTATTTATTAATTCATTCGGTTAAAACAAAAGATTTGTAATTTTTTTGTTTTTACAAAGAAAATTGTTTAAAATTAAAAATTTGTGTTAAAAAAAATTTAATTAAATAAGTTAATTAATCAATGCTTTGTTTTTGAGGTTTTTTTTTGTAAAAAATGATCATTTTTTTGGATCATCATCAGCATCAAATATTTAACGAAATAAACGCATCAATGATTGTAAAATACCATTCAAACCATTTTGTCCATTATTTGGTCGTGGTATATCATCATTCATTTCCCATTCATAATCACCACAATAACCATTCAATATTGGTGATGCTGGTATTCCACGCCGTAACATACGACAACGATGTTGATCTAAACGTAATCTTGCTGTATCAATATCTTGTGTTTGTTCGGGATCACTCCAAAGACGTTCAGCAACAGCTGATGCACGTGGCCATAAACGTGATAATAAATTTGTACCATCAACAAATTCACCCCACATACATGCTTCACCACCAATAACCAGATCACGTTCATCATCAGTACCACTAAAATTTCTTGGATCACACATATAATATTTTTCCCAATCATTTCCCGGATATGGATATGATATATAATTTAAATACCAACAAGCGGATAGTATCATTTTGTAACCTTGTGTTTGAGCAAAAAAACATCAAATTAATCAATTTTTTCATTTTTGGATTTTTAGATTTTTCCATTGTTGGTTACACTTACCACGTTTAGCAACATTATGTATATAATTTTGCCAAAAATCCATTGATGAATCAAGATATTTATCTTTCCAAACAATAACCACCGAATCATCGGATAATTCAACACCATTATCAACTGGATCTTGATACATTAGATATTTATAACCAACATCACGTACCATACGTAATGTTTGTTCAATATAAAATTGTTCTAAATGATGAAAATCAGTCATACCATTCGATCGCATAAATCGAATGATTTCTGGATTTGAACGCCAACAATCATAACTAACTTCATCCATACCTAAATGTATATAATTATCTTTGAATGTATGACGAAATTCATCAAACATATCATGCATAAATTTAAATGTAAAATTTAGCATTGGATTCAATACTTCTGATTCGGAAAAAAATGGATAACGTGGTATGTGTGGATGAATACCATCACCATAACAAGGTGTTAATAAATCTGGAAATGCTCTTGCCATTGCATGTGTATGACCAGGGGTATCTAATTCAGGTATCACCCGTATACCACGCATACGTGCATATTCAATAATTTCCTGTATATCATCCGTTGTATAAACATGACGTTTTGAATAGGCACCTTTTTCACTTATATTTGGATATTTTTTCGATTCAAATGGAAAACTTTGATCATCAACAATATGCCAATGAAATACATTAAATTTATTCATTGCCATTGCATCTAGATTGGCTAATATAACACGTTTTGGTAGAAAATGACGTGCTGAATCTAAAAGTATACCACGATAATTATAACGGGGAAAATCATGTATTTCAGTTTGATTAACTAATAATTGATGATCATCATTCGTAAAGATTAATTGTGATAATGTTTCTAATGCACGTAATGCACCCCAAACTGAATCCGCTGAAATGGTTGCTTGATCTAAACGTTCAGGATGTGGTAACCAAATTGAATATCCTTCTGAACTATTTGATGATGGATATGAACAATCAGTATCATTCGAAATGAAAACATGTACATTTTCAATAACAGTATGATGTGGTTCGGGTTGATAACGTGGATCAATTAAAATGATATTTTTATAACGTTCTAATGCTTGCGAAATAACTGAACAATTTTCTTCATTTAAATTTGTTGTAAATGTTAAACGATTTGGATCGATTGAAAATAATCTTTCAGTAGTGTTGATTGAACGTGGTTTTGGCCATGGTGTACCGGGTGGTGGTTGAAAACCCTTGAAGTGAAAATCATTGAAAAGAAAATCATTGAAGGAACCGGTCATAGGGATTGTTTTTTTTTTCGCTGAACAAAAAAAAATCAAACTTACCAACAAAGGTAAACGAAATTCAATTGGATACAATTTCGACCTTGCGAATTGAATCAAACAGAATATAATGAACAAATGAAAGAATATTCTTCCAATCATTTTTGTTGTTGTTAAAACACAAACTAAAACACCCGAACTAAGCAAACAAACAAGAAATATTTTGTTGTTGTTGTTTCTTCTTCAAATCCAGAAAAGAAAAACTTTCTAAATGATGATGATGCGATGTTGACGAGTAATACTTTCACTTTGGACAAAAAGAAACAAAATTTTTTCACAGATCCACAGATGATCAATGGATTATGATGATGATGATCATTGATGTGACAAAAATATTGGTTTAAGATTATCATTAAATCAGAGAAAAGAAAAGAAAAGATACTTTTTATTTCTGTTTTGTTGAAAAACTGATTGATGAGGATTATTATGTCAATATCATCTAATCATCTTTTGTTGTGATGTTTACAAGTCAAAATAAATAAAATATTTGTGACAAAAAACATTATTTAAAAATATGTCACTTTTGGATTAAACATCATCAATTTGGTTAGTTACAACAGCAACAGCAACAACAATAATAACAGCAACAAAAATGAGTTCATTTTCCAAACAAACATCTGTTTCATGATGAACCGAAAAAAAAGAAGAAAAGAAAAAATTTCAGCCTTTTTTTTCCCCTTTTTAACACCAAGATCACTTGGATTGTTTGTTTGTTTGTTTGTTTGTTGTTTTGTTCGTGCTTACCAATATCATCAATATATTTTTTTTAACAATAAATTTTTCTATGCATCACTTTCGAGGATAATCTCCTATATCATCATCATCATTATATCGACAATACAATGATCGCAATGTGTACATTATCTTCTTTTTTTTCTTTTTTAATTTTATTCGATGTCATCGAAAAAAAAGAGTCAACATTTTTTGCTTTGTTATTTTCGTTGCTTAAGATGATGATGTCGAAAAAAAATCGATTGATTCGATACAATATGGATTTTCTGTTCATTTCATTTTTGACGCATCATCGTAAATAAAAAAGGATCATCAACTTTGTCATTATCATCAT